GGACTTGTGCTTGCCAGGCACGTACTTATTCTACTGAGCTATCTCCCCAGCCCTAATTTTTTTTTTTTTTTCTTTCTTTGTGGTACCAAGGAATGAACTCAGAACCTTGCACTTGCAAGGAAAGTGCTTATTCTACTGAGCTATCTCCCTGGCCCCCTATGGTGCCAGATCTGGTGCATGAGGAGACATACAATTGTTGTAGGAGTCTGATTTTTTTGTTCAGTGGCACTCAGCAGCAAGTCAACGTATTTTTTTATTTTTATAATGAGCAGAATATATTTATTGAGAGAAAGAAAGCTCCTGTCCAAGAGAGGGACAGGAGGGGGGCCCAAGCAGGTAGTTCCCCCCAACATATTTTTTTATCACATCTCGTGAAAACACTACATAAGAGGACTACCAGAACTGATTCACAAAGTGGCAAGAAATATGGGACAAGTGTGTTTGAAGCAAGGGGTGCTATTTTGAGGGGGATTAATGGTAATACACCTCTCATTGTAATAAATTTTAATATTTAAATTCATATTTTTATCGCCCTTGTATATGAGTATGAACAAAGAAATTTCTTAGGAAATAATATTTATAGGGGCCGGGGAGATGGCTTAGTAGAATAAGTGCTTCCCTGGCAAGTGCAAGGGCCTGAGTTCAATCCCTGGCTCCGTCAAAAAAAAAAAAAAAAATTCAAAAAAAAAAAAAAAAAAAGGAAATAATGTTAATAATCAGAATTGATGATTGTATACTGAGAATACCTCTCATTTTGCCCTAAAGGGAGAAAGAAACTTTCTGTTAAATCTTTTCATTCATTTGGTAATATTCAGTAAAATTAATATCATAAGTGAGTCCGAAAAGTAATGATCAAAGGGTATAGGAAAGAAGATTGGTGTGGCCTCAGCTGTTCCAGTCAGGGGGGTCCCAGTTTTTTTCCTTGTTCCTTTCTTCTTATGTCTATTTGTCAGAAGAGCAGAGAACTCTGTTTTGTTCTGTAGTGTCTAAAGAAGTACCTCATATGGGATATTAATGTTGTATAATTGTGTGAGATCACAGGAGACAATCAAAAATGTTCCAGTTCTCATTAATTGAAGTGTGCATTGTTCAAAAGAAAGTACATTATAAATAGTCATAGTAACATAAACTGAAATTACTGGGGAGGAGTTGTTTCTACTGTCAAGCCTTAGTCAGAAAGTTTTATTATTTTCTTTCTTTTTTTGGTCTGGAAATCTGTTTAAAAGAAATTGCATTACTTGATTGGCTCTTCTTCCCAATTAATAATTTTAACTTCGATAAATTCTGATTTCAGAGTTATGAGTAGTCACATCTTAGCTTTTCCCCTTGCTGGTTAATTGGGGTGCTGGGGTTAATCTAAATTAAAACTTAAACTAATAGAGGTCACCAAGGCAGCTGAAACACCTGAGTGAAACAAATGGGGCTGCCAGGCGCAACTTTATCTTGGCTGTTTCCCAAGAGGGAAGTGGCAGCAAATTGGAGTTGTTTCAGCCTTCTGTAAAGGTGAATGATGGGTGACACTTGTTAATGTACAGCATCTCCGGAAGCGTTCCAGATTGCTTTGCTGCTGTACCAACTGCTGCCATCCATGCACAGTTGGTAGGAACTGGACCAGTTGCCAACATCTGGTAGCACAGCAAGGAATGGGTGCAAGCCTTGAAACCCCACAGATTCTAAATATGGTGCTTAGACTGTGCAGGCTTTAATCACTTACCACTCTTTGGCAGCAGGCTACGACAGCTTATCCTAGCCTCGTACATCACATCCCGACATCTGCTGAGCTCAAGGCAGCTGCGCATTCATTTTCTTTTCTTGCCTTTTCTCTTTGCTTCCTATTTCTCCTCTTCTTCCCACTCCCCTCACTCCCACCTCCCTTCAGTTTTCCTCCCCCGCCCCAATATGCTCCCTGGGAGAGATGATCTGTAAAGATTACTGCTTCATTGTGTGCAAGTAATTGTGGTGATGCCAGGCCCTTGACAGACACAACGTAGCACCTGTTCTGCTGACCTGGTTAATTTCTTCTGTTGAGTGGGATTTGCCAGAGATTGGAGCTGAAGCCAATTCAGTGATAAGGCAAAAGAAAATGGCTGTATGTTTTCTGTTACCTCCCAATTAAATTGGCTTCATAAAGTGCTTTCCTTTATTTGTCAGGATGGTAAGCCTGAGCTAAGTGTTGCATTCAGAAATGGTACAATGTACTACAAAGGGCCTGTGAGTTTTCATTTGTGGTGTGTGTGTGTGCGTGTGTGTGTGCGTGTCTTTTAAATGTGGTCATATGGAAGAGCTGTGTGCTGAAAATAATACCTTTCGTCTTTTTTTTTTTTTTAACTGTACTTGAAGTCAGACTCGTTGGGCCCATGTTTTGTAAGGAAGAGATTATCGCCACATTGAATTTTAATGTTTCATTGTAAGGGTTTAAAGGCTTTCTTGGTTAATTCAGGTGTCGCGAGGCTGTGTAAATGCCGTAACTACTGAGAATAATATACAATGTCAGAACCTCCTATACACACGCACAAGCTTGCTCACACATGCGTCCATTCCCACTTTCGTTCTGTCTCTTAATGGACCTTAAGTCACTACAGTTTCAGAATATGTATTACTAAAGTGTAGGCTGTGTGTGTGTGTATACATATACATACTTAGATGGCTGCAAATACAGCATATGAGAGACTAAAGACAATGTCAGATATAATAAAACTATCATTTTTAGAGTTGAAAAGACTGTTAGAAGCAGCTGAGTCCCTGAGAAGTAACTTCCTAAAATCGTACAGCAAGC